GAACGCCTGCCCAACTCTCGCTAGGACTCATGCAATTTCCCATTCAAGCTTAATACAACACTAACACTGGGGCCCTATTACAAAATATCACAAAAGGGTTCTTCCATGCCTCAACCCATGTCCACTCCTGTTAAGGAAAACAAATCTATAGGGTGAGCAAAACGCTCGTGAGGCCAAGAACACACATGCAAGCACATTGTTCAAGTAACAATCCCAATTTGACAAATAGAGTAATAATATTGCAATAAATAACAATTCGAGCGGGAAAAGTAAACAGAAACAATTCAAGGATATAGTATCTCTCAGGAGCTAAGTTCCACTTGCTCTGTCGATGTCATTCGTATACCTTCCCGCGATGACACTCCGTCAACCGGGTCGGTATTTCCATTCCGTAGATCGCCACTTACTTCCCTCCGTCCACCGTGCTCCTCCCGAGCCCGCAAAACATTTATAAGGCGATACTCCACGAGTATGCCAAGCAAGACCTCTCATTAGGTCGAGCTTCATTATCTCATGGCTCACCAAGGTTCCCGACCAAACCCATGCCGGCTCGAATCCAAGGTCGGCCTATGAGTTTGGGCATCCCCCATTTACATTTGAGAGTCGAGGAGATTCACTACAACGACGTATGCAGCCATAGCATACTATTTCATTTCATTCAATCATTCAATCATCTCATTTCATTCAATTAAGTCATTCATAATTCATTTAGTACATTTGAATCATGAGTCATTTATTTCAAATAAGAACGAGTGTGGTAAAGTACACACTCGTCTCTATTTTCAAAATCTCCAAACAATCATAACAATTAAATTTGTATCAAGTATTCATACACTTGACACTCATCAATATAAGTAATGAGGAAGAAATGTCCCTCGGAGCTTTAGGCGTTCACTGTGGGATTCTCTTGAAGGTTCTCGTGTGCGCCTGAGCAAATAATAATAGACTATCATTTACACACCCTATTATTAAAGAAGATCGTACCATAGTACAACCTTGGAAAGTCTCGTGAAATGAGCCTAAATTATCCTAAATCGAGGCTCTCAAGTGGGGTTTCAAAGTACAAGAGAAATTTAGTTTTCATCTTGGAAATCAAGTATAAAACGTTCAAGTAATATCGAAAGAATAAGGAGTACTTGACAAACTCCATTTCCTTGGAATTCAAAAAATTTCAGTTTTGATACGATACATTAGAAAAATTGTATCTCACGCTTTACAAGTCAAAAATTGGAAAACTTGGTACCGTTGGAAACCTCTTCCAAGGTACTAAGAGTTCATAGAATACACTTTTCTAAGATTCCAAATGGAAAACATTCAAAAATGAGCTCGAAGTGGCTGTTTTGGTTCATAAGGCAGATTTAAATTGGTTTTTGGCCAACTTTGAAAATTTGGCAAAATTCACTTGATTGGAACTAACCTTTGAAATTAGGAAATCTGTTAGAGTTTCAATCCAAGTTTATAAAAAAAATAAGCGGAACGAGAAACGGAGTTTTGAGCACTAAGATATGGCAACTCAAAGTTACCAAAATTCCCTTATGAAACAAGGGTTTTCCAAACTCAAGTCATGAACTTTGGTAATTTATTCGAGCAGCGAAATGGACTCGGATTGGTACCAAATTCAGCAATATAATACTCCTATATGAAGGGTATCCCTCTATCAAATTTCATGAAAAAATACCTTCGGAAAGGTAGTCAACCAAACCACCAAAGTTTCGATAAATCCTAAGGCAAAACTGCCTTGAGCTTTTTATTTTCCATTTCCAAACATTTGGCCAAGGAAAATCCTTCAAACATGGTTCATTTGTGTAGGCAAAGCCTAAGGAACATTCATGGTACGTTTGGTAAGTGTTTTAACTCCAAGAAATTCAATTGGCAAGTCCACACCAAGTCTAGCATCAATTCTGCCCAAAATTTAGGGTTTTCAAGAACAGGGCAGGTTCCGTATTTTGATCACATATCACTCAATTCAACTCGGAATTGAGCATGGTTGGTGGCGTTGGAAAATAAATTCATAATACTATAATTTCACAGAAGAAATAATTTTGAAATTCAGCACACAACTAGCTCAAATTCGAGCCTCAAGTTGCAGCTTCTGAACTTCGTTCCAGGAAAACAGAGAAACAGGACAGTTATCTTTAAATGGTTGGTACGGGATACTCGGGTGGAATTAGGGGGTACATTTTATACCTTTGGAAAGCTGGGAATGTCTAGTTTCAAATGCCACTGACAGCACTTGATTTTGACATCGGAGCACAGAGTTATGGACAAAACAAGAAGGCTGTCTGAGCATTACGGGGAAATTTTTCCAGGTTTGCTAGCTTTGCGAGATTAATCCATTTGACCAACCAAACCTCAATATTTTTCGATGAAAATTTGTACACCATCTATATAACATATAAACATCATATACAAGCCATTAAAACCTCAAAATTTTGCAAAAAGAGGCACGATCATAACAGGGGCAGAATTGGAAACTTTACATCCATGCACTCCTTGAAGTTTATACTGGCTATGCACTATTAATCTACCAATTTGAGCACTAAACCAACATTAAATCCATCATCAAGCATCACATCAGCCATCAATCCAAGAGTGGGAGTTCATAGAGCCCACATTCAAAATTTTCCAACAATAACAAGCCATCCACATGATTATCTAAGCTCATAAGTGTAAATCAATTTCCATAGGCCAAGAATTTGAGGGTTGATCGTCACTTACTTGTGTTGGTGAACAAGGGCAGAATTTTGGCCCTATCTTAGCTCAAGAAAACTGTGGAAAGCAGCCCCCTTTTGTAGCTTAATGTGGTCTCCAAGTGATTAGCTAAGTGTGGTTGAAATTTGAGGTGAAATGGTGAAGATTTGGAGCAAGTTTAGGTGAAGAAAATTTGAAGAACTTGAGTTGTTCTTCTTTGGGATGGTGGCCGGCTGTCTTGGAGCAGGAAATGAAGAGCTAATGCTGATGGTAAGCTTCCGTGAGAAGCTTTAGAATTTGGCCAAAAGTTGTTTCAAAAGTCAACTAGGAATAGTGCGCGTACACGCGCGTTTTGTGCTCGATTCCTCTCGAGTTTATTTCACTAGTGCACTAAACCTCTAATGCACTTCTATTCATATTAATATTATTCAATCTTAATTGTCCCAAAATAAGGGTCTAAAGTCTCTCAATTAAATCGCGCGTGTGAAAACGCGTATTTCCAATTTAAGCGCGATAACGCGAAATCTCTAAGAAATTCTTATAACGATAGTACCACTAGCTATCACTTGAATACTTAGGCATCCAAAACACCTATTTTAAGACCATTGTGCAAGCCTCTAATTTTCCAAGTTTATTGTATTCTCGAATCGATTATTGACTCCAATCGCGTATTCACTATTTTCACTTAACGAGCTTCCAAAAATTAAATTTTGAAACAAGTCACTTTAAAAATATAACTAAGCTATAAATCCATATAATTAGGTCTAAAAAGGTTAGAAAATAATATTCAGGGCAATTGACCAAATAAAAAATTAAATGAGCTTGAATTAGGAGTTTAAAATAGATGAATTTTGTGAGTCTTCACATGAGTCTTGTATTACTTCCTCAAATCTCCAATAAATTTGTATCAGCGCGTCTTTCGGAAAATTATCGACGCGCAAGCGGTATACACTTACTTAGAACTCATTCACCTTTAATTCCTCAATTAACTTTTCTTTATCTACTATTGATCATTCTTAATTCTCCAATATTAATACACTCCCGATTCAAGTATAGCCTCAAAAAATGTGTACTCGTTATTCCGAACTAAACGAATTTTTGAAAATTAAATTTTCCAACAAAATGCTTTAAAATATAAAAGAGGCGTTGTTCCATATAAATGGATCTGTAAATGGTCGAAATAAATAATTTGGAGAAAATGAGTAAATAAATATTTAAGTAAACTTGTAATATTCGATAAATAAGAAAATTTTCGGGTCCTCACAGAAACCCCCTGGGATTACTGAAGAACAGATAAAAATGAGAGCATTTTTCTTTTCTCTTAAGGATTCGGCTAAAGATTGGTTATACTATCTGCCAACAGGTAGTATCACAACTTGGGCGCAACTAAAGAAGAAATTTTTGGAAAAATATTTTTCTGCATCTAGAGCTGCCAGTTTGAGGAAAGAGATATGTGTCATTACATAGCATCTTGAGGAGTCTCTCTATGACTACTGGGAAAGATTCAAGAAACTGTGTACTAGATGCCCTCAGTACCAGATAAGTGAACCATTGCTGATTCAGTACTTCTACGAGGGTTTACTCTTTAGAGATAGGAGCCTTATAGATGCTGCTAGTAGAGATCCCTTGGTGAATAAGATTCCTCAAGAAGTTTGAGAATTGATAGAAAGGATGGCAAAAATTTGTCAACAATTTGGCACAAGAAAGGATGTCCATACTTGTCAAGTAAATGAGGTAAATGTCTTATCAATTTAACAACAATTATATGAATTAACTTCGGTTATTCGATAGTTGGCTGTAGGGAATTTGTAGCAGGCCAAAGCATGTGATATTTGTAAAGACACGAGTCATCCCACAGATAAGTGTCCAATGTTACAAGATGAAGGAGTTGAACAGGTAAATATGGGTAGTCACATGCTCATGCCAAGAGAGCAGTCTGATCCATACTCTAGTACCTATAACCCAGGTTTGAGGGATCATCCGAACCTCAACTATGGAGGAAACAAACAGCAGAACTTCATACCAAATAGACAACAGGGATACCAACATCAATACCAATCTCAGCCACAAGCTCCTCCTTCCAATTCGAGTCCATCGTTAGAAGACGTGATGAAAGCATAACTGCTAACACTATGCAGTTTCAACAGAAGACGGAGTCTGATATGCAAGATATACGAAATCAAATTAATTAGATGCAAGATATAAGGAATCAAATAAGTTAGATGGCAATATCAATCAATCATCTGGAATCCCAAACTTAAGGAAAATTGCCATCTCAACCCGAAGTGGACCCAAAGAATCTAAGCGCCATGACCTTAAGAAGCGGAAAGGAAGTTGAGGGACCCAAACTCGTGACTCCAAAAGATAAGAATAAAGACTGGATCGAAAAAGAACTTGAGGAGGAAGGAACAAGAAGCACGAACCCAGAGGTAATTCCTGATTCTATAACTAAAATTAGATCTAATCTACCGTCTTTTCCTAACAGGTTGGAGAAGTCGAAAAGCAAGACAAAGAGAAAGAGATCCTAGAGGCGTTTCGAAAGGTAGCAATCAATATTCCTTTGTTGGACACGATCAAGCAAGTGCCAAAATATGCTAAATTCTTGAAGAACTTGTGTGTCAAAAAGAAAAAATTGAGAGGGGATAAGCAGATTGTGGTAGGTGAGAACGCCTCAATGATTTTACAAAGAAAACTACCACCTAAATGTGGGGATCCAGATATGTTTATTATCCCCTATAAGATCAGACATTCTAAAATTAAAAATGTCATGCTAGATTTAGGGGCTTCTATTAACGTGATGCCTAAATCAATTTATAATTCCTTAAATTTAGGACCTTTAAAAGAAATAGGGGTAATAATTCAATTGACTGATCATATATTTGCTTATCTAGATGGGGTAATTGAGGATGTTTTAGTGCAAGTAGATGAATTAATTTTTTCTGTTGATTTTTATGTGCTTTATACGAATGATAGAAGTGCTCCAAATCTATCACCCATTATATTAGGAAGAACCTTCTTGAGTACTACCCAAACTAAGATTGATGTTAGTGAGGGTACTCTTACAATAGAATTTGATGGAGAAGTAGTCCACTTTAATATTTTTGATACAATGATACATCCTGTTAACTCTCATTTTGTGTTTGCCATTCATGCTATTTATCCCTTTGTATGAAAATTTTCTGAATTTAATTACAGGGGTAAGTTGAAAGTTGTTGCGAACAAATATCAGGAGTTGAAATTAACATTTGATGGAAAAATAGGCAAAAAGTTAAAGAAGATGGTTGCCCGTAATGGTGATCTGGATCCTGAAAATATGCCACAAATTGCAAAAAAACTCAAATTACAACCGGATTGAGAAATGATGCTCCATGTCTAGTCAAAGACATTAAAGAAAAGTGCTCATTGGAAGGCAATCCAACTCTGTCTAATGTTAATTTCAATTTAATTTTCTTCATTTTTTATATTTGTGTCTCGTTTTGCCCATTTAATGTCTGTATTTTGTAGTTAAACAAAGGCGCGTTCGCACTTAACATAAGAGTCCATCATTTTTACGAAGACAGAATTTGAAGAGTCAAGGGGTCAACATGACGTGCCCACGCCTCCTGGTCACATGCTAGGAAGAAATTCTCTAAAGTCACCATCAAAAGACTCTTCTACTTTTTGACGTGCCCACGCTTTCTGGTCACGCACTTGAAAAAAAGTTTCACAATGCAAGGTCAGAAAACTCCCAGTCTTTATGACGTGCCCGCGCCTTTTGGTCACGTGCTAGGAAGAAATTTTCCAAAGTCATGATCAGAAGATTCTTCCACTTTTTGACTTGCCTGCGTCTTGTTTCAGTTAGAAGGATAAAAAAAAAAAGTTTTTTCCTTTTCCTTTTCTTTTTCACTCTTTCTTTTTCTCTCTTTCTTCTCTTTTCCTTTTTCTTTCTTTCTCCCTACTTTCTTTCCTTTCTTTTTCTTTCTTTCTTTCTTTACTCTTCTCCGCCGCATGTAGAATTCAACCCACCTTTTGCTCCTAACATGTAGTCATCCATGCCCCCTAGTTGACCAGGGAAGTTTCGTTGTCCCTTTTTCCTTCTCTTTTGATTCTTTATTGCTTACATTGGGGATAATGTAAGATTTAGGTGTGGGGAAGAAGTATGTTGGAAAAATGCAAATGTAGGCATTTTTGTTGAAATTTTTTGTTCAATTTTTTTCGAATTTTATCCAATTTTTGCCTATCTTTGTGCATATTTGTGGTTGTCCCTGATAAACGATGGTTAGATGTTTCAATTTTTTCTATTGTTAAGATTTTACACTCTAAGGTGTTAAATATGACATGGATAAGATCTAAGGGTGTCTCTCTAATGAATATTTAAGATTTTGTGGCTTTTTATAATTTTTGATTGATTTTTCTAGGCATTGTAAATGTTTGTCTGGCATTTTGTGTGTAAATTGGTTCAACTATTAATCTTAGTTCTCTATGTTTGGGAAATGAAGTGGGTTTGTGATTTTTAATTGTATTTTGTACTTATCTATGGATAGTATTTGGCTATACTCTGCTAGTATCGTTGCCTAATAACCAGGAGTATTCATCACAAGTGTCGACTTTTGCATGAAAAAATGACGATAACTATGAATATGTGGTCCTTTAGCGATAAAAGTTGAGTAACCGGACTCCTTCATTTGACAAATGTCGGAATTCGTATCAAAAGGATTGAATGGCTAAGGACTAAGCTTTTTTTCCTAAAAAAAAACTTGAGTGCAGGGATTTTTTTTAAAAAAAAAAAAAAAGGGGATGTGCTAGTATTGAAAAATGTGGAAGAATGCGAATAAATTATTAGCTTGCTGATTCATGGGACTTAATGTTGAGATTTTACTTAATAGTCAAACCGTCTGCTGTTGAATGCGAATTGAATATTTTATATCCTTAAATTGGTTAACCATAAATTGGAAGAGTCTTTTGTTTGAAAACTAACCGGAGAGATATTTCTTGGAGATTAGCCACTAATGGTTGACACATGTTTTTTTTAATTGTACCTTGGCAATAGATGATTTGACTAATAACCTCCCCTGAGGTTTCTGACAATTTCACTGAGCTCCCCTGAGCTTTAAAAAATTATACATACCTCCCTTGTCATTTAAAATGACAATTTTACCCTTAAATGTTTTAATGAAATTCTCTTATTTGGTTTGCTTATACTTAGAATGAGTTTTAAAATTATTTTTTCATTCTTTTTCTTTCTTATTCCTTTTTAAAATTTTCACCAATAAAACTGTAGAACTACCACTATTGTCTCTAAGTTTCTATTATAACAATGTTGAACCAGTGATTTTTTTGACAAGTTAATTTTATATGTAATCCAATATTTTTGCTGATATTTGTTTTCTATTTATTGGTATTAAAATCAACAATAAATGAAAAAGAAATGGCCCAAAAATACTACTAAATTATGATAATCCCACTACTCCAAAAATTGATAAACTCTAAATGAATTATTTCAATATTTTCTTTTCTATCTTATAAATCTAAATCCATAATAAAATACCATAAAAAATATCATATCATAGTAATAAAATTATTATTATTGTTGTTTATCAAATAGTAGATATGGACATGAAAAATTTGTGAACATGAAAAATTTGGAACCTTTTCCTTATAATTATACTAAATAATCTTATAATTGTATAGGAAAATAAATTAAAACTCATTCCACAATGGCATTTTTGGGTATTCATTTAAAAAATTGTCTAAGTCAATATTATTTTAAGATATTGTTACTAAAACTATCAAATTAAGGGGGGTAAGTGTAATTTTTCAAATCTTAGGGGAACTTAATGAAATTGTTAGAAATCTCAGGGGAGGTTTCTGAAAGTATCCCTAAAATTTTTTGAGTTTAACAATACAATTTTTTAAATTTCAATTGAGGCTTTAGAATTTAGGGATTGATAGTGGTAATGGTCATGGTGATAATAGTACTAATTTGAAATGTGGTAATATGAAAAGGGTTAAGATAGTAGAGATGAGGGTTGAAAATGAGTTTGAAATTTTGTGCATGTTCCATAGTTTTTCAACAATTTTGTAAGAAGGTAAAATGAACTTCACAATTTCATGAGGGCATTTTGGATTATTCATTCAAAATTTTGACCATTAAATAGTTTTTGTTACGGAAAGGGTAAACTTGGGGGAGGTATATGTAATTTTTCAAATCTCAAGGGAACTAAGTGAAATTGTTAAAAACCTCAAGGGAGGTTTCTGAAATTATCCCTTTAGTTTTTTAATAGAACAAACACTCTTAACACCTTGATGAAATTGGTCAATATCAAGTCTATTTATCATTCATGGAAGTGCTTTTGCCATAGCTCAAGACAGCACCATTAGGTTTGTTTTTTTGCTTCCTTGTTTCCTGTAACAGCCCCACTTTCCCCTAAGGCGAACCAAAGAGGTTAGCGGACTGCCTGCCCAGCTCTCGCCAGGACTAACGGTGCAGTATAGAGCGATCTTTCACGTTCCGAAACTTATAACGCGCGCAAATAAGGCAAAAGGGCAAAATAACCCAAAATAAAAGAAAATGAAACCCGGAGTCGGCCATGAATAGTAACCGACTCGTCCGAACCCAACCAAACATCGAATTACATATACCCCATAACATTTAGCCTTTACAAACCAAAATGACATGTAAAAGTGATACAAAAGTCACTACATATATGGTTTGCCAAAACAAAAGTGAAAACGGCCCTAATGATACATTTAGGGTCCCATTTTATATACAATACAAAAGAGTCATTCATCTAGTTCATTTGGCAACCATTTATCAAAATTCATTCCAAAAGAGTCATATTCCTGTAAGGAAAACAAAAGGAACGGGGTGAGCTAATTGCCCAGTGAGAATACAACTCAAGCAACCAAGTTCATGGATACATCAAGCTTAACAGTCCAATTTACCAAAATAAATAAAGCCACACATTAATAATGAGGATAAAAGGATACGGGTGGCTCTCAAGAGCCCTTTTCCTCGTTTGAATTCTTGATCGGTCTCATTGACTCTCCGTCAATGTTTGAAAAGTAACCAACTGTAGACTCCTCTTCTCTCCCATTCCTTCCACCAAACATCCCCCTACCGGGCCCGCACTCCAAACACTTGCACTGTGGTATTACTCGAGTATACCGGAATCAAGAGTCTCTCATACTACAAGATTCCTTATAACTTTACCCAAGGCTCATTAATTGTCACGACCAAACCCTTGTCGGCTCGATTCAATCAACTACCAATGGGGTTGAGCTCAATGATAACATTTGTAGTCGTTGGATACTTGTCCAATCGATATCAAGTCATGTATTTCATTTCATATATCAGTTCATATAACTTTCCAATAACTTTCCAATAACAATAACAATAACATGTGAAACAATAAGTGAGAGTGATAAAGTACACTCTCACATCAATCCATTAACATACAACATCTCAAGTTCAAATATCAAAGCCATATAATAGCACACAAGTGAGTAGTACACTCACCAATCAATTAAGTGCTATTTCATGCACTTCCGTCAGGAGAATGTCGTGAGCTATCGTCACGCCCTAGAACATGTAAACAAATACCATAAGACTCGATAACGAGTCATAAAGTCAAACCAATTATCGCCCAATAGGGTTTCATGCATGGAAATTCAAGGGTTAAATACTTAACCTTTACTCAAGTCGAGAATATAGTTTTCTAAATCTCGAGTAAAAATTCGGGCAGCATGCCCTTTGTGTTTACCAAATTTTCCAGCCATAAGGCTTCATTATTTTTCGTCAAACACAACCCAACAACACACATAAGCATTTCATGTCAAGAGCCGTTCCATAGCTCACATTATCATAAAACAAGAAACCATACCGAGCCATAAACAACACCAATTCACAACCCCAATAGGGTTTTATAAACATATATAAGCATCATAGGAAACCAGAAATTAGGAAAAGGGCTTTAACTTAGGCCTTGATAAGAAAACCGGTTTTGACGTCCTAATGCGGTAATGGCACAACTCTCACTACAATTATCGGATGGGGGTGTAAGACCCACCGTTTCGAAGCTATGGGACAGGGCTACAACAATGTAGAAGGTCACTCAATCCAGTTCCTGACCCAACTAGGTCAAAAATGCCAAACACTAAACCAGAATCACCAAAACAGGTTTGCAAAACACA